AAGGAGCTCTGGAAGCTCTTGGAGCAGTGGTATTACAAGATTTTGAGGGCTGGCATTATTCCAAAAGTCTTGACCTTCAAAACTAGATGCTTCATTATTTCTTTTTAGTTGAGTTGAAAAACATGTACGTCTTGACTGGTTACTATAGCAGTTATGACCCTGCTTAGCATGTATCCACCCTGGTGAATAATGGTCCTGATCAGATGTTGCTGCTATACATCCCGTATTGTAATCTGTTTCTTTCCAGTGTCTTGGCTGTAGTTTTGGAAATTCTTGAGTATCCATTCTTTGAATGTCATTTGCTGCCATGATGACTATCAGTTTTTGTTTGCAAGTCCTCCAGTTTGACTCTACCCTTTTCACTGATTGGATGTGTTATTGGCTGACTACACACCCCCGCCCCATCCTTGCATTTCCATTGCAATAAAGTACCAAATTTAATATACCAAGTTTAAGATTTTTGTACTTTATTGTTTTCGTTCACAAGCTACCAACAAAAATTGGAAAACACAAAAAGCATTTGTTTTCAAGTATACAATTTGATTTTATATGCACTTTTGAACTGTGATTAAAGTTACTAGAAGTAACTAATTAACACACCTGAAAGCAACTCTTGTACAGATTTGAACCCCTTTTGCCATCACAAATATCTGAATCCTCAATATCTAGCATGGTTGTCCCTCATTGTTAGCAGCTCTGCCCTGTCCACTTTATTTCAAGAGATCACGGACCCTTATCTTGAACAAAAACCTCCTTTGTATTTGCACTATTGGATGAGTGACAAGGACTTGAAGGTTAGCCTCCTGAGGAGGTTGCACAGGACTGTCCATTAGGGCTGCAGCCTGTTCTGCTGCCGACTTTCATGTTGCGCCATTGTTACACAGCTTTCCCCTGAGAGGTGGACATGGAGTGGGTAATGAGGGGTAATTGGTCCAGGGTCAAGGATGATTAATTCCCTCGGTCAGGTGTCGCACAGTTTTCATACCTGGCTGGCTGAGTAGACAGGTAAGAGGTGGAATATGAGATGTGGTAAATAAGTAAGAAAGTGGACATGTAGCGAAGAACACATGCAAAGAAATTAGTAGGGGGGAGGAGTCTTGAACAGAAATTACACTATTTATAAATCAGTGAATGGCTTACAGCCTAAATAGAAAGGACCCCATGAGGTAAACCCTAAAATATGTGCAAAACAAGAAAACCTCATAGAGAAACAAAATAGGAAAGACAATCTCTCAAACACTCAGTTAGAGGACAATGTATCTCACAGCGAGATAGATAAAAAATAAAAACAGTAATAAAAAATAAGTATAAACTACAGGATGTGGAATATAAACAAAACCCCATAATGGCCACAAAACACCCCATAGCTGTCAATACACAGAAAAACACATTTCATTATATGAATAAGATTGAGAAAGGCCAATATTCTTCTCTAATGTTGGTTGTCTCCAGCTTGGGGTGGAGCCAATTTGCTTTCCTTTATCCTAGAGTCATAGTCTTCAAAACTGCTGTTATTTAAGCCAGAAATTCCAATGGATCATATCTTACCAGAAAAAAAAAGTTAAAGGGTCACAAAAGGCATGATGGCACACCAAATGTGTTGGGCTCCCGTTCCCGTCCCATCATCCTTCCCTTCGGCTTGAATAACTAAACTGAATACCTCTCCATCCATTCCTCAATTCCAACAAAGCAATTTTGGACACTGATTATCCTGAAGCCAGTGCATGCGTGATGGTAAATGCAGGGGCGCGGTTGGTAATTTACTGGGCAAAGACTGAGATGCCTGCCGTGTAATTGAACAGGGGGTGAGGGGGCATTGCAGGACTGAAAGGGTCTGAGGGTTCCCCACTGCCCATTAGACCTGGCAGGGGGTCTCGTGTGCTGCTGGACTCTATCATGAGGCCCACAGTGGATCAGGGGCTTCAGTCGGGAGTGACACCTTTCAGTGCTGGGGACGAGGGCGTGGCAGTGAGGCAGCTGTGAGGGTTCAAATATCACTGAGCATAATATAAGCTAAGTCATTATTACAGCTATTAGGGTAAGGAACTAAAACAAGCTTGTCTTTCAGAAGGAAGATGACTGGCCTCACTTACCAGAATTATGAACCGTATTAAATATCCATGTATTTCTTTTCTGTTTTAGCCAAAGAAGGCACTTACACAATCAGCCATTTTGTTAAACATTAATTCTAAATTTTCTTCCACAAGATTCAGTAAAAATGATGTACTTACTTCCTAAGTTTGCTTCTTTTGTTTCATGACTAAACCTCTCTGGTTTACATTACAAAGAGCTACAGTACAGCTTAGATTTATAATACCGGTAAATCTGCAGTAAGTCTGCACCAAGAGGTGTATGAAAACTAGGTCCATTTACAGATGTGTTTTAACCCAACTATAAAAAATAATCTAAAACATGGTCATTTAAATATAAAGTTTGAACATCAGTTTCAGGTCAAACTTTACCAAGAACACATGAATATGCTTTAATTTAAACCAGGGGTCTGCAACCTGCGGCTCCAGATCCTCTCCAGCGGCTCTTAAAATGTATATAAAGAGCTAAATAATGTACTCTAATAAATACCAGTATTAAAAGCTTTTGTGTTTTTTATAAGATGGAAAAGAATGATATTAAAAGAACCAGAAATATGTTTTAAGAGCCATCTTTCTTATTATTTTATTTTAAAAGCTAAAAATACGTAAATTTCCTTTACCAGCTAATATATATATATATATTATATATATATATATATATATATATATATATATATATATATATATATATATATATATATATATATTTTTTTTTTTTTTATTTATAGATTTTGCGGCTCTAAAAAACTTTGACTTGGTCGTATTCGAAGCAAAGGTCTGATTTAAACCCTTCCACCCTAGCTCTGGATGTATGTTTAGTGTCGCCATTGAGTCGAAGGTAAACCTCCACCTCAGGATGTACAAAACAGCTAACATCAATCTGACCAACATCTCTGATGGTGCTGGGGAAAACAGTCCCAGAGCATGATGCCATCACAATGTTTGGCTTAAAAGTTAATTTTGGTGTTTGCCGTGTCGCCATCATTGTTTGTGGTCAACTGCAACAGCAGAGATCTTTTTGTCCCTTTTCCATAAAGGCTAAATTTAAAGGTATAGAGGAGGATGTTCTTTTTCCAGGTGGATCATCAATATAAGCGGTCCTCCCAATTGTCAATCATTCTGGTGATATGTTTACATAATGCCATTCTATGTGCTCATCCCCAGTGGTGAGTCTGACATAGTGGAAAAATTTCAAACTTCTATTGGAAAGTAAGCTTGTATGAGTGATGCAAACAGCAACTTTTAAAAAGAGCGTGCACGGGGAGAAATAGGCTTGCGCATGCTCTCGCATGCTTTTCCAATTAGATGTTCCCTCTCGGGAGCAGGTGGAGGGTTGTGCATATGTTTTTTTTTTTTTTTTTTTAAAGTAGACAGGGCTGCTCTTTTAAAAATTTTGTGAAATTCCTCTACTGTACCTATAAAGAAAGCACAACAGATCCCTCCACTGTTGATCTCTGCAGCATTCTCAGTTATCATTGATCCTCTTTGCTGCATCTGTGATTTAATGTTTGATAGACAGTTTATTGTTTGTTAAAATTGTCTGAAATAAATTTCCTATTCATTTATTCATTCATAGACTGTGTTTATACTCATTTTAAGCTATATATGGGCCCTTTTTCTAATTTAATGACTTCTGAAGGCAAATAATTGAACAGAATTTAATTTAAAGTGACAGCTGCACTCTACACTTTTGAGTTTTTTGCTTCTAAAAACACATATCACCAGGAAAATCATGAAAAAACACATAATTTTTAGTAGTTTTGTGACAAGATCTGAGTGTAAACACTTTTGCAAGCACTGTAATCTCTCCAAACCCATAAAGGTATAGCCTCCCTATATCTTGTACTTGAGCTCTCCGGGAGGCGTTCCTTTCTTCTCTGACTGAAGGGACCCAAAGCCGAGAAGTAAAATATTCATATGTGAACAAAATGATTTTCCTTCCATTTGACTTGTGTTGTCTGTACTCAGGAACAGCCTCATCACTTCTGCTCCAGTAGCTATCTTCTATGATCCATGAGTATTTACTCCAGTCTTTGCCCACCTCCATCTGCATATCGTTAACATGATGCGGCGTCCTTGAGAATATGGAATGCAAGAGTTAAACAGGCGTGCAGCGATACCAGGAGGCATGTTACACACTTTATTTTGGATCAGTTATCCCCTTACATTTAAATGCAAGCAAAAGGATTCAAACATGTACACACAGCTACCATTTATCTGCTTTTAACTTTGATTGCACAGTTTTTGGTGGCATTAACAAGCTAATGTTAGTCTCTGTTCTTTTCAAAACCGACCAACTGTATGATCAAAACCTTTAACTTCCCAAGAAAGAAAATTAGCTCCTTTTTAGGTACCATATGGAATCAAATCAAGTTTATCATAAAAAAAAAAAGCTAGAAACCGCTCGATCATGAGAAACTGCAAGAGAGCAAGTCTAATGATAGTGAATAAGATACAAGCTCCTCCTACAAATTGAACAAACACAAGCACCAATAGATTTGAGCCACCTACACAAACAAACCAGGTGAGCTCTGGAAAGACATTTAACAGCCACAAAAGAGAGGATTCAATTTTCAGTTTAAGGTAAGAAAATAAAAACGACTAAGCTTGAAAGATAAAAGATGAGGCTTTAACACAGAGGATCAGCTGTCAATAATAGTTTTGTTTTGTTGTACTGCTGAAGAGAAAATAAAAATAAAGATGGTAGAAAACCTCTAATTTCTTCCAGTTTAGCTCAAAATCCTCCAGGATTCTCTTATGAAAAGACTCCTGACACCAACAGAAAAATAAAACATTTGATTCCACAAAAGTTTGTTTACAATGAATCCAGGAGGCTAACAGAGGAGATAAAACCAAGCAGTTTAAATGAACACTTGCATTTATGGCAAAGAGACTTTGCCATAACTTTGACTTACGTTGGAGGAATAAAGTCTAGACCTAGTAGAGTTTAAGACACAGTGAGAACAGTTACTGTTTGGTTCCAGAGAAACCCTGCAAACGATGATGCTCTCTTAACCTAGGAAGAAAATGAGATAAGCAACTTTCATTATAAAAACATTTATTAGAAGTTCCTTTGGTTTGAAGCAATGCTAACCTGACGGCATTAATCCGTATGAATCCAGAGGCATCACAAGGGTCATAGTCTCCCTGTACATCCATGCTAAAGAGGAAAGAAAGGAGAAAAATATGAGAAAATGTTAATAGTTTATACACATAGTTTATACAATTTTAATTCTTCCATTGAAAGTTACTGATTATACGTAAACTTTACACAAATAGGATAAATAACAATAAGAATAGTAAACATTAAAAAAAAAACATTGAAACACATAAAAGCATGAAACCTAAATGATTTGAATGAACATTCTGTTGTTTCTCTCTGAAACTTAATCAAAGTATTCATGCATAATATAAAAAAATTAACTAACTACCTTAACTTTCAAGAAAATTAAACTTTAAAGAAATGGAAAATATCAAATTGTTGCACATCCCGACTTTGAAGACATGTCTCATCTAAATTGAGTGAGCTTTAGTTTAGTCAAATAACCTGTTGGATTTGGGGAGGTAAAGCACCGTTAGCGGTATCAGCAGGGGAAAATATTTCTCCCTTTTATATGCAAACAAAATCAGACTGCAAGGTCTTGAATGTGCCAACAATGTAATGTGACACAAGCTGGCTTTAATGCAAATACATAATTTATTTTCAACAGATTTTACTCGCAAAAGAGCTTTAAAAGCGAAGCAGAAATACAAAGCATCTTTGGCTGCATCACAGATGAGCTCTTCCTAACAGAGGGAGAGAAAAGAAGGTTCCCATTGATTTTCCTTTGAATGCACCTGTTTGTCACTGTTTGTCCTGAATGATGGAGAATCGATACAGCGCAATCAAAACATGTTCATGTACACAAGCATTTAATAGAATAAAAATATCCATAACTGTTAAAAAGAATCTTTTAAAATCCCATCGTCTCAACTGTGAGCCAACACTGGATCTGATTTTCTAATCTGATGTCTGTCTTCTTTCTTAAAAAAAAGAAAAAAGTAGTGAATCTATAACTTATGCAGGGGTCTAATGTTAAGACTGCTCTTTGTATAGACACCTCACCAAGCGTCTCGCACAGAGTGCCGTGTAATTACAGCAGTTTCTACCTGCAGTGTTTAATACACTCTCTTACCGACTCCTCTCCTCCCTGAGACACCCCCACGTCCCGGAGTACAGCTTGCACTCATTCTTTAAAGCACTTAGCAAAAGAGGAAATTGTCAACAAATGATAGGATAAACATTATAAAAAGAAAGGACGACAACTAAATCATCAACTCTCAATACAAGGCTCCCTACCCGGCACCTGAGGACCATTATGAGCGAGTGGCTACAAAGAATATGCCACTTTGTGAGTGTGTCTGAGTGTGTATGCGTGTAAGCATGTGATTGTGTTTTCCTTTAAGAAACCCTGCAGTCTAATTGAGAATAAAGCCGGTAAGAAGCGAGGAGGGTGACATTTCTGTCTCAGATGGGTGCGGTGACGGGCTGTATTACCACTGCGTTAATGACGCCGTTTACTGTTGCCTGTGGAGAGCCAACAGGATGTCAGTGGGGGTTTCATGCCTAATCTGGTCTCTCTCTGAGTGTGTGCGTGTGTGTGTTTATATGATTTGTGAAAGTGTGCTGAGCTTTCAGGTGAGTCAATGCCAGGTACAAGCATTTGTTATTGACAAAGAGCAGATTTCTTGTTTTCTTTCCACTGAACTTAATTTCAAATGCTTTTCAAATGAAACTGTATTTGAAACATAAAGCCAGTAAATTGTTACAAAAATCTGAATTTTAAGTTTGATGAATTAAGATTTTTTTTTTCCACTGCAGGGATTTGCACATTTCATGCACTTTCAAAAAAAAAATAAATAAATAAAAATCTGGATGGTGCACCATGGAGTGTGAATGTTAAGCTTTAAGAAAGTCTTTTTAATTGTAGGCTTTCTTTTAGCTTTCTTATTACAGGGTTGTATATTAGCACAAAGCCTCCAGGACGTTAAACAAAGCAAAAAACATGGCAGCTGGATGTTATTGGCCTATTTCTCTATATGTAGTACAGGTGCATCTCACAAAGTGGATTTAATAATGATCGAGAGGGATTAACACCATTAGCCTGATTTTCACAAGCTTGCTTGCATGTGCGTAGCACCATCTAATAACTAAACCATGCAAAATTATGGGTGAAGGAAATGCAAATATTAATATTTATTATTACAGGTGATTTTCAAATATCAAACTCAACTTTGGCCACAATTTTTTGCATCTCGCTTTAGCCCTTTAGAGGGTCAGGTGTACATTCATATGCAAACCAAGCATACAAAGACAACTTTTTTCATGTTTTCTGATATTTTATCTTTTAAATTTAACTTTGTTGTTTTCATCATTTTATTTTTTTACTTTGGATTGTTGCTCTATGAGATGGGCTACTTATGAGAAGTATACTATAAATATTATTAAATATTACCAAATTGTTTAAATAATAATGATTTTTATAACCTCCAACCGCATGGCTTAGAAACAATCTTTATTTTATGGCCTCACACTGTTGGTAGAACAAAACATTCTGCTCAATTTTTCGCTGAACGAAAGTCACCGCTTAACATTCAATCTTAGTGGACACGCCCGATACACACCCATTTATTGCACAATCAAAACTTTGCCAGTTCATTTAAGCGCTCCTTATTTATAATCTTTGAAAATCCGACTCTAATCCCTTCAACTTTGCCTCAAATCAACTGCTTATAGAAGCATATATGTATCATATTTAGAGTTAAAATAGGACTATCGCAAACACACTGTCGCAAAACTCTTTTAAATTGAAAAAGTGACATTTTTTCAATATTTAAATATTTTTGAACTATGTTTGTAAGCTGAGTCACCGCCATGAAATGGACCAATTTTAAGGACAAGAAAAGTAGTCAGACATCAAAGAGAAATTATACTTAAGACTTATTGGTGGCTAAAAGAAAGGTAGCAGTGTTGTTTAGAGCCCAAAATGAACATTTTATTTGTGGCCATAGATATATAACTTATATCTGCATTAATTTGTTTCAAGCTATGTGTATTTCAGGACAAAACTATTAATGAAGATGTTCTTCCACTTAAATTTAAACAGAACTTATTTTGGTAATCAATCTTTATTCCTAATAAACAGGAGTCTAACTCTCCTCTGTCTCCACCTGCTTACTTAGAATGAGGAGTTATTGCAAAATCAGTGACTTAATGCAACCAGATGGTTTTAAATTTTACCAAATGTCGTTCAATGATCAATTGTGTTTGACTTTATTATATAATTTTTTAGAGTGAATTTAAACGTAAGTCACTGGATTTGGATCCTTGTATATATATTCTGTATCTTAATTGTGATCCATCTTGATCACAATTTAGAATCAGCTAAATTTGGATCCATGTTGATCTGAAAGAGCCTTGTGGTGTTCTTATTATTATTCTAGGGAACAACTCTGACTCAGCTGTATGAATCAGAGTCAAATAAAGACTGATCGTTTTATTTAAAGAGTGACTCAACTTAGACGTTTTCCTGAACAGAGCAACCAATTGAAAGAGTGGAGTACAGTCTCCGTTTTATCTGTCCCTTTCACGTAAATGACTAACTCTCGATAAATGATAAATTACTTGTCTTTTCTTTCAGTTTATAGAGCTGTGCTTGTCACTGTGGGAGCCATATTTGTGTCCCCCTCTATCTGACCTGCTTAACTACCATGACACTCAGCTACTTTTCCCCTAACAGCCGAGTGAAACAACCTCTCTCCTCTCGCTGAAAACACCATTAGCTCTCTGACTCTAGGGTACAAATGAAGTGTGTGTGACTTAAGTGGAGATGGAGAGCCATATGGAGAGGTTTTCCTTTGGTCAGTGCTGAGCTTGCCCAGAGGGCATCAAGGGTCAGTCGCTTGAACAAACCCACTGTTACCACAGCTAAGAGGGCATGGTGGGGGGGCAACCAAGGGGTTGGAAGAGGGGGCTGCCCTGCAGGCTATGACCACAACATTTCTCTGATGTCTTTGTAAAGCAGGGTCAGTTTAGCATGCTGATGCGGGGGTCAACAGAGAACTTGAGTGGTGAACATGTGGAAAAGCCACACTGTGCCCAGAAAGGCCACGCCCATCTGTCAGGTTAGGATAAATGAATGTTTTTATTAAAGCTGTTTTCTAACCACATGCTGGGTTTTACCTGACCAGCTCCTCATTGTACAGCGACTTGGGTGACTCTCGTCCCAGGATGTAAACCTGACCCTTGAAGACAGACAGTTGGACCTTTCCCTCAACGTTCTCTTGGGACTTGGCTATGCAGTGTCGCACAAAGTCACACTCTGGACTGTACCAGAAGCCTGCAACAGAAACACAACAGTGAGGGAGGGGTTCTTCAAAGACATTGTACAAGTATATTTTGCCTTTCACTAAGCACAGAAAAAAAGAAGGAAAAAAAAGAAATTTATATATATATATATATATATATATATATATATATATATATATATATATATATATATATATATATATATATATATATATATTAGACTTTAGAACGGTCTCATCTGAAGAAAAGGTGGTTGAGAAAACAAAGGGAAAATTTTTTGCCAATATGATCCCATCCTCACAATAGGAATGTAAAACCTTCTGCTATTATGAGCTTTTACATGTTTATGCTACTTAATTATGAAAAAGCCTTTAATGAGTTTATTTTCTTTTGTTTTGTGTTTTGTTTTTCTACAAGGATCTTTCTTTAAAGTCATTAAAAGAAGTGATTAAAACATTTGATAAAATCATGCCATAATCAAAAAAGACAACAAACCCCTGAAAATTGTTTTCTATAACCTATAAGGAAAAAATTAATATTACTAATGTGCATCCCGCCAAACAGATCATATAAAAGACAACTAAAATGGATTCTCCTTTCTTTGAGCGACGCACAGCAACACATACTTTTTTCAATAAAAAAGATAGGTTGAAGAGTAACTGGATGGATGGATGGATGGATGGATGGATGGATGGATGGATGGATGGATGGATGGATGGATGGATGGATGGATGGATGGATGGATGGATGGATGGACAGGGAAGAGGGGAAAGATAGGTGGCATAGGTGTAGGTGTAACATATATATTGCATGACAGCGTTGAACACTTGTTGTTCTAGACCCAATCTGTGGTGTGGGAAAAACGGCAAAAAAAAGAATGAGTTTCATAAAATTATGATGATGCTCCAACAACACTCTTCAGTGATGATTTGAACCTGTGCTTTGTTCACAGTGGAGAGCAAAGCACCATGATCTAATTTCGCTATAGATTTTGCAAGTTTTGTTTGCACACAATCATCAGGAATCCCGAAGAAAACAACTTATGAGCTAAATGAATCAATAACAAGAACTAACAGTGATATAAAACTGAGAAAATATTTACATCACTTGCAAAGACTGCTTGTTCTTTTTTGGTTTTTACTGTGCTGCTGAAAAGTAAAGGCTGCTGATACATAAAGCTGAAAGAGGGGAAGGGGTCTAAATTAAATGTTGTTTCTTTGTTAAAATAAATTCATTGGGCAGAAAAAATATACCTGAATGCATAAAGAAGAAGAACAGAACAAACAACTGGAAAACTTTCCAATAGCAGAAGAAGCTGCATGGATTCATCCGAAGCAACATCTTTTAGGTGCTATATCTCCGCTTCTGCTCAGCATCCCAGAGCAGAAGCGTATTCTTTTCTTCTCGCCCATTTTGCAAACCTGAACCACCATCAGAGCCCAGGGACAGATGGGCGAGGGATGTGTCTATATATACTCAGAGGTCAGGCACACCCCACTCAGCAGGGGTCCTCCTCTCATCAGCAGCCGACCTCCACCTTATCGTCTGGGTATGTTGAAAGGCACAATGAGCTCCTGCTTTAATTCTCTTCGAATTGGCACATAGTACTAAAAGCATCAAATACATATTGGTTGTTTGTGTGTGGGGGTGGGGTCTTTAAGTGTGTATATATATATATATATATATATATATATATATATATATATATATATATATATATATATATATATATATTGCAAAAGTTTGGCATAATTGTTTGTTCTGTTAAGGCCTTTTTGGCAAAATGTGTCTGTAGTAAATACAGCAAGAGTTGAGTTTATTTTTTTTTGTACTTTAATGTAAAGTTATAACTTATAACTTATTTGTATTTAACTTTATGCTATTACAGTCTTAAATTTGACATCATACAAAACTACGAATCATATCTAAACTGCTAAGCACACCCAAGCATATATTTGGATTGTTTGTTTTATGTTCAGCATACAGATATGTCCCATACAGCTCTATGTTTAGGTAAATAGAGCTATAAACAGATGTAGAGCAGGTGGATTGTTAACATAAGCTCCTCCACTACCAGCCGTCTGCAATCTGCAATTATTAATGATTTAAACCCACAATGGGTTTAATCTCTGCCCTGTTCCTGAATGCAGCACCTCTGCATGTGTGTGTGAGTGTGTTTGTCTCAGCGTCTCTGGAGGGGATAACTGGAGCGGCCTAGCAGTCGGTCTGTAATGGCACTGATCCTATTATGTGGATGAAGGTGCAGACAACCTGGGACTTGGCAGAAGGGAGGATTAAGACACCTGAGCCAAGAAGAGCTCACAAAGATGTGCAAACATACTAACCATGCCGTGGGGTGTGTTTGGATTCGTACGCGGTACGTTTAGATCTCACATGTGGATGGGAGGAATTAGATTTAGTGGCTCTAAGAATATTTTACTATGAAACTGAAAGGATGCTTACCGTTGTACACAAGTTCAGAGAACTTGATGCCAAGTCCCTGTTTGATCCGGCGGACCTCTTTGTCCATGGTAAAGGTCTCAATGTCTACATGGGCCGTCAGCAGGATAGTGCCTCCAGGAGTTTCATATATCCCTGTTAAGATTAGGATATCAAAATAAATAACCACGCCCTGCAAACGTTTTATTAGTCATTCAAACTTTTTTAAACAGCTGCTTTTTACTGGCATTAGCCTTCATTTAGAAGTAAACAATGTTTCATTAATAATGACGAGTAGGAGCTTGTCACAACTGCTGTTTATAGTGGGGATGTGTGTATCAGGCTGAGTGCAGTGGTTTCCAAAACGGATGCTTTGCATGCTGGTCTAAAATGTCCATCTGGAGCAACAAACTCTGATATTTCCCATCTTTGCCTTTTTTTTAAAACTGGATTATTTTAGGTACATGAAAAAAAATATATTTATGAGTTAATGGAGGGTGCAGCAAGGCATGTCCTTAACGAGGTCTCAAGGTATGGATGCTGATGCACTAACGAATCCGCCCACGCACGAATGCATTGGCCGACACAATACAAGAAAAAAACTCCATCTATCTCTGTCCGTCGGTCAGTCGGTCGGTTTCGGATCTCTGAAGCACCTACAGAGATCGCCTCTACAGGTGCTGGTCATAAAATTAGAATATCATGAAAAAGTAGATTGATTTCAGTAATTCCATTTAAAAAGTGAAACTTGTATATTATATTCATACATTACATACAAACTCATATATTTCAGATGTTTATTTTGTTTAATTTTGATGATTACAAATGACAACAAATGAAAATCTCAAATTCATCATATCAGAAAATTAGAATATTGTGAAAAGGTTCAAAATTGATGGCCCCTGGTGCCACACTCTAATCAGCTAATTAACTCAAACCACCTGCAAAAGCCTTTAAATGGTCTTTCAGTCTAGTTCTATAGGCTACACAATCATGGGGAAGACTGCTGACTTGACAGTTGTCCAAAAGACGACCATCGACACCTTGCACAAGGAGGGCAAGACACAAAAGGTCATCGCGAAAGAGGCTGGCTGTTCACAGAGCTCAGTGTCCAAGCACATTAATAGAGAGGCGAAGGGAAGGAAAAGATGTGGTCGAAAAAAGTGTACAAGCAAGAGAGATAACCGCACCCTGGAGAGGATTGTGAAACAAAACCCATTCAAAAATGTGGGGGAGATTCACAAAGAGTGGACTGCAGCTGGAGTGAGTGCTTCAAGAACCACCACACACAGACGTATGAAAGACATGGGTTTCTGCTGTCGCATTCCTTGTGTCAAGCCACTCTTGAACCACAGACAGCGTCAGAAGCGTCTTGCCTGGGCTAAAGAGAAACAGGACTGGACTGCTGGTGAGTGGTCCAAAGTCATGTTCTCTGATGAAAGTAAATTTTGCATTTCCTTTGGAAATCAAGGTCCCAGAGTCTGGAGGAAAAGAAGAGAGGCACTTCATCCACGTTGCTTGAAGTCCAGTGTAAAGTTTCCACAGTCAGTGATGGTTTGGGGTGCCATGTCATCTGCTGGTGTTGGTCCATTGTGTTTTCTGAGGTCCAGGGTCAACGCAGCCACATACCAGGAAGTTTTAGAGCACTTCATGCTTCCTGCAGCTGACCAACTTTTTGGAGATGCAGATTTCATTTTCCAACAGGACTTGGCACCTGCACACAGTGCCAAAGCTACCAGTACCTGGTTGAAGGACCATGGTATCCCTGTTCTTAATTGGCCAGCAAACTCTCCTGACCTTAACCCCATAGAAAATCTATGGGGTATTGTGAAGAAGAAGATGCAATACACCAGACCCAACAATTCAGAAGAGCTAAAAGCCACTATTAGAGCAACCTGGGCTATCATAACACCTGAGCAGTGCCACAGACTGATCGACTCCATGCCACGCCGCATTGCTGCAGTAATACAGGCCAAAGGAGGCCCAACTAAATACTGAGTGCTGTACATGCTCATACTTTTCATGTTCATACTTTTCAGTTGGCCAACATTTCTATAAATCCTTTGTTTTTATTGGTCTTCAGCAGAGATGGCAAAAGTACTCACTTTCCGTACTTGAGTAAAAGTACAGATACTTGTGTTCAAAAATACTCTGGTAAAAGTGGAAGTACTGATTAAACTTCTTTACTCAAGTAAAAGTAACAAAGTACAGGCTTGTAAATTTACTTAAAGTATAAAAGTAAAAGTAGAAACCACTTTTTTCATGCCGTTGCCTACATTTTAAATGGATGTCTGCCAATAGGACTAGATCTCCGTTGTGTTCATTTTCAATCATCTCGTCGTCCATACTACTATGCTAACGCCGCCGCCACCAAGCTGCAATGACTTGCCGCGAATGAATACCGCCGAATCTGTCGATTCATCTTGTAGTGGTGCGTCAAATGCAACGTAGATTCCCATCCAATTAGATTGAATTTGATATTGATGACGTGGAAAATAATAACAGTAACTCCATTGAAATGATTCAAAACTAAAGTAACGAGACAATTTTTAAAAATGTAAGGAGTAGAAAGTACAGGTATTTGTGTAAAAATGTAAGGAGTAGAAGTAAAAAGTCGCCATAAAAATAAGTAGTAAAGTAAAGTAAAAATATCAGAAAAATCTACTTAAGTACAGTAACGAAGTATTTGTACTTCGTTACTTCCCATCTCTGGTCTTCAGTAATATTCTAATTTTCTGATATGATGAATTTGAGATTTTCATTTGTTGTCATTTGTAATCATCAAAATTAAACAAAATAAACATCTGAAATATATGAGTTTGTATGTAATGTATGAATATAATATACAAGTTTCACTTTTTAAATGGAATTACTGAAATCAATCTACTTTTTCATGATATTCTAATTTTATGACCAGCACCTGTATACTCAACCTCTCAAGCTGGGCTTGTATTCAAATCTTGGGGTCTTTCTGCATTGAGCTGCATGTTCTTTTAAAAGAGAGAGGGACCTGTGTTCCTTGTGTCTTTGCTATTGGCATCTAGAAATAGGCCCCATTTAAAGCTTAGTTGTCTCTGGACTTAATTTAGTCCATCATAGTAAAGGGGGCTGAATACAAATTCATGCATTACTTTTTTGATGTGACAAAAACATCTATTTATCTCCTTTAAAATTATACAACACATTATCTTTGTCACATAAAATGCAAAAACCAAAATGCTTTGAAATTTGTAGTTGAAATGTGACTAAATTTGGCAAAATATAAAAAAGCAGCTCTGCACGTTATCTAGTTAGCAAAAAGATGTTTGTTAGCTCTACCATCCTAAAACCTTTTATTAAAGCCTTCCTATCATCACTTTAATTGTCTATGGCCATTTATGGGTCCTGTTCATCTGAGTGAAGGGCATCAAGAAGCTCTATTAGTCATTAGCAAAGTGATAGACAGGTCTCCACAGTGCTCACAAATCATGGACAAGCTTGTCCTGGGTAAATGACAGGTTGGGAGGCCCCTGCCAGCCTGGAGTCTGGACTCAGGCCCTGTCTACCCTGCAATTTACCCCCTCTGGACAAGGAGGGAGGGGTGAAAGAAAAGATGAGGTACATGACAGGAGAAATGAAGCTGTCATTTAAACGTCAGCTAAAACAAAAAAAAAAAGAGAGTAGAGGAAATCTTGAAAAGCAGACTTGACAAAAGAAAGCGCTAAATCTATGACGTCTATTATTAAGAAAGGTTATATTTGTGGAAAGTGAATGCTTTACTCAAATACTACATGGTTTTTTATTACACATTCTGAAACTGGACAGGTGTTTTTGACTTTATAAAAACTGCAGACCTTTAGAAAAAGTGTTTTTCTTCAACTGTTATAAATTATAATGATTGTACCGACTATATGGACATAAGCACTTGTAATAAAATGGCCAATTGGCACATGTAAAAGTGGTGAAGCAAACAAAGAAAACCAGCCCCCAAACCAAGCTAAAACGCCTTGTGGCCTCTGGTGTTCCTAAGCTGCCGAGGGTACGTCAGGACATTTCCTTTTCACCTCGATCAGATAACTTAAAACTGCCCTCAAACACAACTCAGCTTAAGTGCTGCCAAAGAGAGCTAGCTTAACTGATTGGAGCCCATAATTTAACACTGTCTGGTTAAGCTTTACAGTCTGGCTTAAGGAGACGTGACCCTCAGTGGGTTTAGTCTTTCATAGAGCCGCTGCAGGTATGCTAACCACGCAGCAGGCCTGCACGGCTTCAGGACGGGATTGGATTCCTCCTGAGCTGATCCCATCTGAGCAAAAAAAAGAGTTTAAACAGGCAGCACTTACATAGCAAAATAAATATATCCTTTAAACTTTTTCGATTTTATTCATGTTACAAGCACAGACCTCAGCATATAGCACTGGGACTGTTTTAAGGGACCAACAAAGTTTTACGTAAATGTGAAGTGGAAGGAAACTAATCCATAGTTTCCATTTTTCAGTTTACCGAATTACAGGCATTTCCTTAACAAATCGTCACATTTAGCAGTCGAAGCTCCCATATGTGCAATTTTAATCTCAACATAAATCCAGCTCTTCTGGGAATGTTTGGTGGAGAGCACTGATGCAGCATCATGAGGACAAAGCCTACATCTGCAAAATTACAGACATGGTCATCTAACCTTAACAGCATCAATGAGAGAAGATGTCAGATGGCCTGTGGTGAGTCACAGCTGAGTGGAGAGAATCATTGGTCAGGTCTTAGTAATGTACATTAAAATGTGGTAATAAGAAGGTAGCAGTTTATAAAGTCACACAGGGGCCATTGAAAACATGCAGACAAAGATGCTGTGGTCCAAGTAGACATACATTCAAGCCTTACTCAGATATGCTGTTTAAGGGCAGGCCTAGTACGGTAATGAAAAAAAAAACAACTAAAAAACATCTTTCTATGAATGTGTTGGTGGCAGCATCATGCTGTGGGACTGTCTTTGTCTATGATAACAGCCTGAGATATAGTTGAATAATTGAGAGCAAAGCATATTCATACCCTAGTCAGAGTCCAGACCAAAATCAAACTGAGAATCTGATCTCAGATATTCTCCAATAAATCTGACTTAGCGTAAGGAATGGGGAAAAAAGACACACTCTAAAAGCTTGTAGCTGTCATCATATTGAAAGGTGATCCTACAAAGTACTGACTCTAAATACAAATGGCTGACACACCTCAAATCTGTATTTGTGAACAACTCAGAAGAAAACATCCTTTCTCTCCTACTTCCCAATAACAATTTTGTGTTGGTTTAGCATAAAAATAGCAGTAAAATACATGGTTCTTGTTGCAACGGTACAAAATTATGAAAGGTTCAAGATGCACTAATACTTGGATACACTGGAAATAAAATATCTACCAATACATGTTTTTAGATTTTTTCTTTTTCGCAAATGATTGAAACTAAAATTTAACAGTGATTTTAAAAGAGGTTTCTGTAGATTTTGCAGCAGATTCATACGATGCATCATAAGGATGATGAAGCCATCGCTGACTGCTTCTGAGACCCTCATCTGAGCACAAGCCAGAGGTCTGACAGCACCCTGACAGCTGGGAAACGTTAGTCTCACACACAGGTTGTTGAATGTACCACAGTGACAAGATTCTTGACAAACCATTTGAGTCCCATCCGCCTCTCTGACCCCTCACAAATAAATATGACCCAAACACAAATAAGTATGACATGTCCCTGTTCGATCCCTCCCATCGTCTATTGTGCTCACACAACTGCCACTCCAGAAGAGGCCAACCTATGCGCTCAATGGTAGTTATTCAACCACTCGGGCACCTTGTGCTCCACCTCTTCCTATTGCTTGCAAAGAGGAAACAGCTTTGATCTTTTGTTCAGCCGAGGGGAGAGAAAAGTGGGTTTCTCATTTTCCAATTTCTACCTGCCAAGTTGTTGCGCGGTCACAGTCTGCCGGCCGGTCAATTTGCCAATCACAGCACACTGTATAGTGGGGAAAAAAGAAGAGCCTGTCCGTGCCCTTTTTGGTGCTTTTCTGCTAAACTAGGACTAAACCTTAGCTGTTTGTTTCTGCTGTTGTAATGGTAGAAACCTCACAAAGGAGTTCAAGGAGTTGAGGCTTATTACTGCAGATAAACATCTTTTTGTAATTGTGTGGACAAAATAAAGGGACTGGCTTTGTATTTACAGGTATCCACTGGAGCATTCACACCAACATCCTCCTCTCAGTGTACTGTATGCTTTTTTTCTAGCACAGAGAAGACTGCAAATATCAACAGCATCTTGAGTCCGGGTGAGCAAGAGGTAGACACGACTTTATGGAGGCAGCAGAGTGAGACATTTAAAGCACTCATGTAAAATAACTACAGAGTGCATCAAAGCCTTGGATACTTAAAAGAATACTGACAGAGAATACTAAGGTAACAAGGCTGAAAAGCCTTAGAATAAATACATCTTTTAATGCAGTGAAAAAATCCTGTTTTGAAATTTTTGGACAAAAAAAACTCAACCTTTGATTTAATCATATAAATAATTTAGGGGAAACTCATTTTAAGACAATGTTCTAAAAATCAAAAGTGTTAAAGTTATTAGTCCTCTCTCTTTCTAACAAGTCATTGCTAATAGATGTTAGAGTTTGTTTATAATATTTCTTAAAGTTAGAGAAAAAGGAGAAAGATTTTTGACCCTTTCTTTTTGCACAATCTCTAAATAGTGTCCAGATTCATGGGTCCACTTACTTTCTTTTCTTCAGCTCTGATCACAAGCTCTATATAGAACATAGGAATGATGACTGAGGCGTTCACAGGAAACTGCTGATTTCCTGTCTGGCAAATTATTTCAGATGTTTTCTGATCAATAGATTTCTATTCACTTGTTCATGATGCTCTACCCTCAGAAAGGTTTACCATAATCTTTGGAAGGGAAACAGTCCCACAGCATCACTGATCCTCCATCTTTCTTAATACAGGGCATGACTTGCTTTTATACTACTTTCTAGCTTTTCTGCATAAGTGAAAAAGTATATTTCAAAGCAAATCGTAAAGTTTTTAAAAAATATATTTTTTCTATTTACTTTTTGCACCACTAGTGGCTCATTTTTTCGACAGTAGGCTGACAGGAAACGGGGTATGAGAGAGGGGGAGACGTGCGGAAAAAGATCACAAGTCTGATTCGAACTCGGGTCAGCCGCGTCGAGGACTAAGGCCTCCGTACATGGGTCAAACGCATTAACCGCTGTGCTACCTGCACGCCCCTTAATTTCAATTTATTTTATTACAATTGTTAGAAAAATGCACTTAGATTAAAATTTTAATTCTTATATAATTCTCTAATTCTAAGTGATGGTAATGCATTCAGAGATTATTTGTTCAAATAGTCATATTTTCTGCAGAATAAGGTTAATTTCCTTTGTTATTTTATGCACAAATTTAGCAGGTTTTCAGTAGTATATCATGTTAAAATTCTGTTATTCTCCACATACTTTATACTAAATCTTAATGTCTTACCGCGTGACTTCATGCCGATGAAACGGTTCTCCACAATATCAATCCGACCGACCCCATGCTTTCCACTAAGAAACAAAGAGATGTTCAGGTAGGTGAAGTTAATGGAGAAATAAAATTCATTTTTTTCCATCTTTCTTTCATCTAAACAAAATGGCTGAACCATCTTTACCACTAGCATAACACCTTTTATTCTTCATCATGGGAGATATTTTCAATTCTAAAGCATGAGATTAACATTAATTTGAAAAACAGTCCAAAAAAAGCATTTTACTTGATTTTTGTTTGTATTTTCTACCCAAATCTATTCAAATGTAAACCTTGGCAAACTGAACTTAAAGCAAAAAAGATGTACACAGAAACATATGGAAAATCAGTGATAGTTCATTCTTAAACAACAGCAGGTGACCCACCACAGCTTATGTAAATGAAGATCAAATACTAGCATTTCAAATTTATGCAGATTTGAGTCAATTTCAGTGCTGTCTTCTGGGTCAAGTTAAACCAGGTAGATGATTAGATATATATATATAAAAAGAAAAGAAATCAAAAGGTTTACCCCCCAAAAAATAAAAATAATAATATATTTCAGCTAATTCTTAAAACATGTTTCTTAGAGTTATTCCTAATATATCAAAGCACTTACCCTATTTCATTGAGGTATGAGAAAATATCCAGTGGTGTTTCTTTGGTTTTCCCTTCCTTCACATGCACCACTTTGACAGGAACTCCTAGAGAAATCAGTTGCAACAACAAATAACAGACACGACAGGTGGATCATAAACAGCACAAACAAGACATATTTAGGTTTAGATTAGATGTGGTTCAGAGGATTCAACTGCAAAATAAGCCACAATTAACTTGTTTATTTTGATAAAAAAAAGCTAATGGACAGAAAACTCAGAGATTTAAACTTCCACAATAGAATACACGTCATCTTAAACTCATATTAAAAAATGGGGTAAAATATGCTGGATTTACACCAACATTGGATAAACGACAACTTAAAAAAAGGAAATAAAAATGCTGTTATATAATTAAAAAATAGAAGGTTATAGTATATAACATTTGAGATAGAATATTTATTTAATCACACCCAAATAACAAGCAAAAAGTAGATTTTCCTGCAGGTTGTTTCAAATTTCAGACAGATCAACAGATACAATCTAAAACTGAAAACCTTAACAAATGCAATCATGAGAAAGGCTAATAAATTCAAAGGCTCTTTAAGTTTGAAAGCTGTGAAATTGTGGGCTGGCCTCTACCTAATTCAATTACACAGCTTTGTCAGCCATCCTCTCTTTAACGCTGAGATTTTGTTTCCTTTTCCACGGCTTTTGAGGCTCATGCACATGTGCAGAAAACAGACCCATGTGCAACTTGCACATTGTTTCAATGGAAAAAAAAAAAGGCAAAAACAAAAAACAAACAGAAGTTTACTCCACACACACTTCCTACAAACCCACATAAGACAAGCGTACATCAGTCACTGTCACCTCTGCTTATTCAAGGTCCTCAATGAGCAGCAGGGGCCAAAGGTGGGCGGTGGGGAAACAAACAGACGTGTGAAAAGAGTTAAGTCTAAACAAAGCGGGAGTCGACTCATCATCCTTGGGCCATAGTTTACTTTTTTTTTAAAACATTTTTAAATAAATTTTTCTGATTTCTTTCCATTTTTTTTTTTTTTTTTTAAATGGACAAAAGCTGACTTTTAGGGCTTTAATTCCCAAATCCGAGTCAGGTGAGAAACTTATGTGACACCAGGGCTTTTTGGATGTTCATATAGATAAACGGCTCTGAAAAATAAGCTGAACGTGGGAGTATTAGCTCTGGTCCTTCATCCCTCCGCTTATTTTCCTCGCTCTGCCCAGGTTGGCCCTTCCTTCGTTCTCTTTAGCTGCTTTATTTTCAGTTTCTGCACCCTTAACAGTGCAGACAATAGGACCACAGACACAGTTGTAGGAAAAATTACTGCTTTACATTTTTCCTCTCTGTCTCTTTTTCCTCCTCACTACTTTGGCATGACAGGAGGGAGGCATGAATTTAATTTTTCTCCTCCAAAAAAAAAGGGAGAGTAATGGGGAATAGACCGTTTGACGGGGGGGAGAAAAAAAAAAGTTCCTGTTGTTATATATTCTTTTTTAATCAGTGAGAAAACTTTGGTGAGAAAGGCAGGGATGAAAAGGTGGGAGGGGGGAATGAAACGAAACATTCTTTTGCTGATCTTGTGCACAGAGGGAGGAGTGGGCTTGGGCCTTTGTGTGGACAACTAAAACAGCTTTTGTCATAGTGCGCTCAATAAAAGGGCTGGAGAATATGTGTGAAAATGGAGAGCAGAGCCGCTAGGAACCCGCGAAACCAGTCGCAGCTTCACTGGTGCATCACCGTTTTACAAAAGCCCACCTCACCTCCGGCAGAAAAGGCAGAACGGCCTGGATGTAACATTTTCTACGGTAACCTTGTAAAGGTTGATATATAACAGACAGACATTTCCTTAACTTCTGTGGTTTGCACATTTTCTCACACTGCAACATCCTGGCAAACTTCTGAACTACCATAAAATGTGGATTATAGCTCATAAAGCCGTCCATCAACCATCACTGGATCTGAAGAGCCGGCTGATGTTCTTGCACATCAGCCACCCCTGGTGACCAGGGATGAAAGAACATCTGTGTCATCTGCCTCCAGGGCCTGAATCTGTCTTGCAATCTCCTCTTTGCACAAACGTGACACTTTCTTGTGTTCAAGCCGGAGCCCTGCGGCAAACATCTCTAATGATCGTTCCTCTGGGCCCTCCGGGCTCAGAGTATAAGCTGGAGTTAATGCTTCCGGCTTGATGAGGGGCCCTCTGGCCAAACATGGCTGTTTTAGACCAAGTGACGGTGTAAGGGGTTAAGGATAAGTCTGGGTGGCCATAAGTGGAAATGGAGTGCAGGAGGTCAGCTTTAAAGTGACAGTTGTGACCATCTCTCTTAACACCATGGAATGCTATGATGATGAATGGTTCTCCCATTTAAATGTTTCCGATTAACAAACAAATCTTCATATAAGAAAAAGATTACTGAATTAAACACAAACTGTGGTTTTAAAATCCTTATTTCATTTATAAAGAGGGAAAAAAGTCCGTTAGAACAACCTGGTCCCACATATTAAAGCCACTGGCAGTAATAACTTCCATCATAGATTTGCAATAACTGGCATTTATGATTTTTATTTACATTTCTGTAGAGAACGTGACCCTGCTTCTATTTGCAGATTTCTTTTTGTAATCTAGCCACAATGGAGCATCTGCAGCAGCATCTCAATCATGTTTAGGATCAGAGGTCTTAGTTTTCTTAGTATCGTGTTGCATAATAACCCAAATGGGAATTAATATTTTACTTCGGGATCTTCTGTTAGTGAGGAAAATTCTAATGTTTGTGTTGTGTTACAACAGGATGCACCTTCTGAGTGGAAAACACTTCTAAATGAATTCCTGGAAATGTTAGAAATGGTTTGTAGCCCTTCTCACAATATTGTAATGTTTTTGAGTTGAAGGGTTAACCAGAGGCTGAGTCGTACCATGCTAAAAACATAAATAAATCCTAAGTGCTTCAATAAATGCAATTGGATTTCTTTTTTTCTCGATGGCATTTGGTCTGATATAAATAAAAATAGTCTTTAACAGATCAACAAGTTTCATTTCTTTACCTGCTTAGATTTCTGTCAGTGCCTGGTGAGGTGAAGCTATATCCGAAACGTCCAATTTGTGACAGAGAATATAATCTAAAAACGCTTAAATAAAAATTAAATAAAACCATTAGTAAATGGCTTTTTAAAAAGCTTGAAACAATTATTTAGAAAGCTCTTGATTAATATTTGAAAACAAAGTCAGGTGATTTATTTAGCAAAGCAAATAGTCTCCTAGATTTGAAAAAAATTAAGGTTTTCCATTTTTAGTTCACCTTGACCAATAATTAAAGAGCTTAGGGGGTTTAACTTATGTTGTGGATCCAACAACATGTTAAGTTCTTTTATATTTCTGATCTCAAATAAGTTTTGATGTGGCTCAGCATCCAGGGGTGTCATTTTGCTTGAGAGGCCCAAGTTCTCACATGTACAGAGCAGTTTATTTATAAGAAGACTAAATACAGCGTTTAAAAAAAAAAAAAATCCAACTTTTTATGAAAATAAGAGGACAGGTAAACCTAAAACAGATCATTCTTCGCTGCTCAGACATTTATAAGTGATGGTTATTGTATTGGTTAAAACAAAGAGGAGGATTATTCTCTGGGTTTTCACACCGTTTTAAACTGAGAAGCAGAAAAACTCAGATCAATAAACTTAAGTTTAATCTAAAGCAGTTTCACTTTAAAAACAAGCAAGCCGTGCAGTCACAGATCAGGATTTATTTCAGTCTGCTTCTCTTTTATACTGAGCTCTCTCCTGTCGTGCATGACTAGTATGTTTTTTGGCACAATCGCCAGTCTGATGGTGATCTTAAAAACTACCCTACGTTCTTCTTGGAATATTACCTGAGCATTTCATTGGCAGCATGATTTACTCTAACTTTGAAATATTGATTTGACAGCCCTTCTCAGCTTCAGTTTATTATTTCTATAATTGGTTTCAGTCTGATTTATTTGATTCTCCAGATCCTGCTTGTCAGAGAAGGCTCCTTTGTTAATTTTAAAATAGCAGTAGCAAAAGCTTTGGAAAAAAAAAATCTGCAAAAAAATAAATTAATTAAAAAAGCAACTAAAAATACAAACCGTTTCAAAGCAAACCTAATTAATCATGTATTATTTAATCTGCATCCAAAAATAATTTCATCTGTTTTTTATATTTCCAATAAATATAAATGTGTTTGACAACATTTGGATATATTTTAATTTGTTTTATTCAGTGATAATAATGGTTTAATTTCTGAATTTTTAATTATTTTCAATTTTTTTTTATCCATTACAAGACATTTATTTATTATAAATATTAACTTTTTTCCTTGTTTCTACAGTGCAGATGTTAATTTTGATCCATTTGTTGATTCATAATGGTGCTTTATTTACTGTTTTCAGGATTTTCTGCTGTCTGAATACCTGTCTCAATCACTGTTTTGTATTTTATAAATGTCCGTTTTTTAAAAGCACCGTGGGACTAACTCTAATTTCTTTATTAGTAAGTTATTTCAGTAAACATTCCATCTAAATTGCTCTAAAAAGGACTCTCATTTTTGATATTTTATGTTTCTGCATCGGCAGACTAATCTTCAGAAATAAGCAGATGATCTGAAAGTTCAGCCTGTCGGACGCTAATAAACAACAACAACAGTACAAACCATTTTTGAACTCAATCTCCAGCACATCTGGGATGTTTGGAGAATCTTCTGGGTTTTTTGTCATCAGGTAGAGGTCAGCTGGAGCGTGGCTCTGAAGAACAAACCAAACAGCAACTTTTTATGACCTTCATTCAGACTCTTCATTCCTTTTGATGAACAACAAGGAGAAACGGCACGCTGACTGCAATAGGAGGAGATAACAGACAGTAAGTAAAGGAGCTGAGACAATGATGCAGAAGGAAAGGGTGCGATGATGAAAACACAAAAGTGCCACTTTTATCCTCTGTTTAGTTTCACTTTCTTCCCATTCTCGGCAAGAGGAAGGAAGGGAAACGAGGAGTAGGATAGCCATCTGCACATCTTTCAGTCTTTCAGCTCTGATTTTCTGAGTGACATTTCTCATTCTCTTTTCAGGAGGAGAATTTTCCTAAATGGTTATCACACGACAACAAACATCTAAAAACCAAATCCCACTTTAGGCACTGCTGGTTGATAGAAATGTGTCTTTTCTTCTTATTTTTTTCCCCCAGTTGGTGGCTAAACGATTCCAGTAAGTTGCGGTTTGGACCCAAAGGAGCACGGTGGTGTGACGTTTCCACCCGGCTGATGTGCTCCTACAATTACACCGCATTAGGACAAGACGATGGTCAATGTCTCCTGAGCTGAGGCAAATTGCAGGGGGGTGGCTATGCAAAATAACTGCTGGGTGCATTTAAATGGAAAGCTTTACCAGACTCGAAATGATCATACAATAACTAATCGGCATCCGCTCGGCGGCTGTCAGCGAGGGGAAAACGAGCAGCGCAATCACTTTCCTTTCCTTTTAACTAAACACAAAAATTGAGTGAGAAGGCGACCGTCTCCCTCTCCTTTATTTTCTGCTTCAGTGCCCCGAAAGATGCCAAATGAGAGTGAGCAGGAGAGGGACAAAATCACTGCTCTAAAAAGCCTTTTGATGCTTTGTCTTTAAAGGGGTGGGAGGGTGGAATAAATACTTTTCTTTTGGTGGGGGGGGGGTCCAACATTCACATACAAAAAGCTATTAGTTAAAATGACATTAAAAAAAGAAAAGAAAAACATTAAGCATTGGTTTTATTTAACCTCTTGAATTTTTTTTTTGCTGAAAATTTTTACATAATTTTATAAAATTGAACATGTAATTTATAAAAAATCCATAAGACGGGCTAAAATATACTTTTTAAATGGATCCGACATGCAATAAGTGAAAACTCCGTACTCCGACAGCAAGAGTTGAAACTTCCAGAAAATAAAGTGAAGGACGTAAGCCAACAGGCTTGTCTCCAATGAGAAGGAGATCAATGCATTTCAATTCCAACCCCCTGCAGGTGGACCTGTCCCAAAGACGTGGCCCTGAAAGAAAGGCAAAGGTAAAGATGGAGAAGGCGGGGTGCCGGGGGTATTGGTGGCAAATGGGGCGTGAAGCGCACCATCATGTTGCGCTGAGCAGCTCCTTTGGCTGCCTTTGCCTCTGCGATATTGTTGTGCTAAACGTGGCCCCTGTACGGCAACAGAATGAAAAAAAAAAGAAAGCTGACGCAAGAACTTAAAGCAAGTAAATTTCTATTTTTCCACTTATTAGTTGCCTCATTGGGTTTCAATCAAAGCCAAAAGGCCTCAAAGGAGGCAGAGGTAGCAGGAGTGGAAAGCTGGCAACAGAAAATGGGATGGGGGGGTTTCGTCTTCGGTGCACCAGATTGGAAGTGATGCTTAAATCACCGTGTCTCAAGTCGGTGCGCCTTTTCAAAATGCAGCAGTCTGAACCAAGAGTAAAACAATATGAATTTGATCTGCAGTAGAGGGATTTCAACGCACCCAGGATGTCTCTGTTAGCTTTACTGAAGACGACGCTGGAAGCTGAGGTGGACGCAGAAAACACTTCACAGGTCAAGCCCATCAGGCCTGAGGGCAGCTAGGGCACATGGCAAACTCTGACCTCTCTGCTTCAAAGCACACATTCACATGTAGACACACATACACACCTACAAGCTCACTTCCTTCCCCCACAGGCTCTACTTTGACCATCCATCTTTCCAGCAGGCCGCGCGACCAGCAGCAAACAAGTTTTCATTTCCTCTCAGCGAAAATGAGGCCCTGCGTTTCGCTCCCTTGCCTCTGAGTCAACAAGAGCAGCAGCTTGGGGAAGCTCACCAGTGACAGAGGTTGTAATTAAGACTGAGGTTACGTATTAATGACTGGGATGAGTGTCAGAAATCCTGAGGATGGGCTCTTAGTGGGAAATGATAAGCAAAGATATTCAAAAATTGGAGCCTTTGCCAACAAGTAGCATCAGGATAAAATAGGCTATTTCAGGAGAAATGACGAGAAATTCCGAGCTGGCACAAAAATCCTAATTTCTGTTTATTTTATCGGCTAAAGATTTGACAAATCCCTAAGAAAGTTATAAACACAGTTTCTTAAATTCCTATAAATGAAGTATGTCTTCTTTATTTCATAAATTAACTCAATTTTGTTAAAGTATCCGAAACCCTGTGAACTTTTAGTCCTGTTCCACCATAGATCTCAGTGCATTTTGTTTGCATTTTAAGTGACATGAAAACAAAAACGATGGAAAAAAAGGGAACGGATAAAATGTTTTCAGAGTTATAAAATAAAATCTAAGAACTGTAATTCTTTATTCAGCCCCCATTTAATCTGATATTCCTAAATTCAATTGAGATTTTTAAAAAAGTAAATTACATCATGTCTAACTCATCCTTGCAGAGCTACTATCCTAAAACTTTTAGCCTGAATCAAATGCATGGCTAATTACTAAGCCTCTGCAGCGCTGAGTGATATTCTGCCATTTGACTATGGTTTGATAGTCTAAAAGCGGAAGGACATCTATCCATCCATGCGACACGCTTGTCACAATTGGGGTTAGGAGGGGTGCTGGTGCCTATCTCCAGCAGTCTATGGGCGAGAGGTGCCACCCTGGACAGGTCGCCAGTCCATCGCAGGATAAAACAGGACATACAACCATTCACACACACACATAAGGAGAATCTAGAGAAGCAAATTAACCTAACATGTTTTTGGACTGTGGGAGGAAGCCAGAGTACCCGGAGAGAACCCATGCATGCTCAGGGAGAATATGCAAACTCCATGCAGAAAGACCCTGGACCAGGAAATTAACCTACAACCTTCATGCTGCAAGGCAGCAGTGCTACCCACTGCACCACTGAGCAGCCCAAGCTGGGGGACAGTGAAAGTCAAAAACATGACCTGACCACCTCTGGGTTTGGTGATTAATCAGAATAGCAGCCATCTTCATTCTTATTGGAGAAACAGCTCAGTCTGAGTTAGATATGATGGAGGGAGTCTGAACAGAAATGTCTTGTCTTACCTCAGACCATCAATTGCCTCTGGATCTACATTTTGACAAGGGTCATTCTAATAAGAAAATATGCTCTGACCTAAACCAGTGTTCCAAGTCTGGACAAAATACCACTATTCCTGCTGAAGCCATTGTTAGTTTAAGTTATCTAGTTGTGTCTGTATATTAGGTGGCCTCTGTCTCTGAATGATGTCCAGTCCTCTTAGTTTTGGGTCAAAGTTCGGTCTGCAGGTGGTGGGCCCACTAGATGAGGGCCTTCCATCTCCTGTGTGGGCTAAGCCTGGCCACGTCCTGCATGAACTAATAAGATCACCAGGCTTGGTGCCAGGGAAAGGTCCTCACTCCAGCCAAACAGGCTGTAATGAGCCTTCTAAGGGTGGGTGGGCACTCCGTTAGAGATAGGGTGAGGAGCTCGGCCATCTTGGAAAGGCTCTGAGTAGAGCCACTTCGCCTCCACATTAATAGGAATCAGTTTAAGTGGCGCAGACATCTGTTGCGGCTGCCTATGTCTAACGTCTGGTCTTGAACACCTTGGGCTTCTCCCAGAGGAGCTGAAGGAGGTGCCTAGGGAGAGGGAAGTCTGGGATTCTCGTCTGAGATTGCTTCCCCTACAACCTGGTCCCGGATAAGTGGAAGATGACAAGTACAAGAGCATGCGAGCGACCTAAACCAATCAATTTCAGCTCTGACTGCACTCTTCTGATCCACAAACCTCCAACCGGGTCTCCTTGTCTTTTGCAGCCAGAGCGCCTGATAAAGATCATCCCTACAACATGATGCTTCCACCACTATGTCTTAACATGTTTCTTTTTGGTTTGAACTTCTTTTAACTGACCAGAGCTCTTTCTTACGCTTTTGCCATACCCCCTATATGGCTTTAAGCAAACAGTAAATTAGACTTATTTTTGGGGCTAGACGACATAGTCAAAACTTGTATTCATTTTAATTTCAGATGATACGATAGAATTACAATAATCCATATAAATAATTTTTAAAAACTCAGACAGACTGCCAAGAATGCCTACAAGACAATCCTGTACACTGGAAAAAATCAAAATCCAGGTAAGTCCTTTTTTCTTAAAATAAGTGCATTTGTTCTTGTATTGAGGAGGCAGAGATGGCAAAAGTACTCACTTTCCGTACTTGAGTAAAAGTACAGATACTTGTGTCAAAAAATACTCTGGTAAAAGTGGAAGTACTGATTAAACTTCTTTACTCAAGTAAAAGTAACAAAGTACAGGCTTGTAAATTTACTTAAAGTATAAAAGTAAAAGTAGAAACCACTTTTTTCATGTCGTTGCCTACATTTTAAATGCATGTCTGCTAATAGGACTAGATCTCCGTTGTGTTCATTTTCAATCATCTCGTCGTCCATGCTACTATGCTAACGCCACCGCCACCAAGCTGCAATGATTTGCCGCCAATGAATACCGCAGAATCTGTCGATTCATCTTGTAGTGGTGCATCAAATGCAACGTAGATTCCCATCCAATTAGATTGAATTTGGTATTGATGACGTGAAAAATAATAACGGTAACTCCATTGAAATGATTCAAAACTAAAGTAACGAGCCAATTTTTAAAAATGTAAGGAGTAGAAAGTACAGATATTTGTGTAAAAATGTAAGGAGTAGAAGTAAAAAGTCGCCATAAAAATAAGTAGTAAAGTAAAGTAAAAATATCAGAAAAATCTACTTGAGTACAGTAACGAAGTATTTGTACTTCGTTACTTCCCAT